GCATTTGGGTCTTAGCATGCTTGGTAAAAGGCGTCGGTACAAACAACCCGAGTACCTTATCAACGAGATTTGTTTCTCGAAAACTCTTGTCGATCCTTTTTTTTTTTTTTTGGCCTACGGAGCCAATGTCTATGTACATGCTCGTCAAATAAGAAGAATAAGAAGAAGAGCTAAGTACTTAGGTAAGCACATAGCTCCTCAGTCCTTTTCTTCTTCTCCTTTCTTGTTTGTTAGTTCTCTATGATTACTTCTAACTAGCTAATTGTCTTGTTTATAATTATACGGACATGCCAGTTCGCTATAGCATATGTATACACACACATATTCACTTTTATCCCTTTGCATCGCATCACCGATTCGTCTAATGCACCATAGGTAGGTAGGAAATGCCTTTAGCTGCGTATTTTCCATTACATGCCTAACGTACATTCGTCGTATGTACTAAAAGAGCACCTACGTAGGTACGTACAGTACTGCGTGTTCCCCTCGCACGCTGGACGAATATTGGTCTTCGAGGCCCTATACTGTAAACAAAACATCTCGCCTAACATAAAGCGGTACTTCCCTCGAGTATATCACCCACTCATACGCAGTCAATGGCCGGGGCGCCTCCGCATGCAGAATCACGTCCAAATCATCCGAGTACAACTGTAATGTACAGCACAGTCCAGGCTCCTCCCACCACTTTCACCAACCAGTCTTTACACGTATCGACAGCATGAATCATCGCCTGTATGATCCTTGTCCGTTTTTGACGATGGGTTCTTCAAAACTCCGCTATGGCCTCGCAACTGGCCTCGCAACTGGCCTCGTAAGTCACTTGGTCTTGTCTAGCTCGTATGGAATCCCTCGAGATTTTATACGCGAAAGTAAGATCTCAGAATATGTCACAGTGTTATCCCTTATCCGCTTGCCCCAGTAGAGGAAAGCCTTATTAGTCAGCTCGGTATAGCATGTTCAGACTCCTATCTACTATTCCCCCTTATGACCTCCGGTATCGCCAACCCGCCGTCATACTTCGCCAGACGATTCTCGTGCGAAGGACTATTAAAACCCGGCTTTTGTGGTGCAGGGCGTCCATATTTACGTACGATTTTCTAAAGCAGTTTTTCTAACATACATGCCTCCCGGGTGTAAGCGAACTGGTTCAGGACGTTTGTTTAGCTTCCACATTCGTCAAGTTTTCGTTATTGCAACTACGGCCAATGAGCAGCCTTACAACACACATCAAGCGTTATGAAACCATTGGGCGAATTGTAGATTCGCCTTTGCCGATCGTGCTCTTACTACCGATCCAATACCGGCCTTGGAAGTATGCAGACTATAACCTGTAACAGTACTCATTCAAGCGCATCGCAACCGCGACCGCGACCCTACAGCTACATCTCTAGTCGGTACATATAGGTGGGTAGAGATAGCCGATAGGTAACTGAGAACTCGTCTCACCCTATAGACGAGACTGCGGGCTCTCTTATCGGTGTCACATTGCCGATACTCAATCGTTCTTCTATAATCCCTTCTGGGTTATATCGCATTATATACCGTCGATTCTAAACTTGGATCCCGAGTATATCATGATGCATGTCGAGCCATGAGCGACATAAGTTGTAATTCCTTTTCGCAGTACACACCGGCGACTCTGCGGAAAACATAGCTAATCATAAACCATAGCACTAGTCTCGTAGGAGTTCCTAAATTATAGCTGTCGTACATATGCAGAACATATGGGCTTCAGTTGTGGTTACTGCTGGTTGGACCTAGCTTGGTTGGAGGTGACAACCGTAGCAACGGGATGATATTCAACGGAGCTAGAGCCATGACATCGCGGTGGATATCGCGGTTAGTAATTCTATTGGCCAACTTTTTCTAATCGCTCGTTGTAGTGTTGTAAAGGAAATACCGTGCTATGGTTGGATTTGAGCCCCTACAAAATAGCAAGCCTTATTATAGCGTTATAGCGTAGGTGTTTTGCTTTGGGCCTCAGATAACATCGTTTGCTATATTCGATCACACTGCGTCTAATAACGGATAAGCGTTAGGCATGTCTATGAAGCCAAACGCTATTCCACGGCATCCGATGCCTTGTCGGGAAGCACTAGTATATGCTTGGCAGAATTACGTGCACCGTCTGAATTCAGTTTCAATACTTTGCCATTATTGCGTTGGGGCAGTGTGGTGATGGCTGGAAAATGAAGATAGACAGTGGTTATTAGGAAACGAAAGAAGCCTCATAGCGCAAGAAAAAAGATGAAACAACATATATAGCATCAGCACCCTGGGAACTATTAAGATGATTACAATAAGTCAAAGCATTATTAACTTAGAGTGAGTTTGAAATATGATGAGTCTGTGCTCCGAGGACAACTTTTTCATTCTTATATCCTACCGACTCTACGGTGTGGACGGGCCCTCGCCTGTAGCACGGTAAGTAAATCGGATCGGAGCCTGCCTAAGGTACGAAGGCCTCGGACTTAGTTCGTATATTCGAAAATAGCCTTGCCATTACTAGAAGCAGATCATATGTCGGCCAAGAGTGCTTTCGTGTCGAAAGGGGCAATCCGCAACTTCTACTACATTCGAACGTAAATGCAACTTTGGGAACTATGTAGGTTAGCAGTTTACCTACCTATGTAGCAGATCGGTTATAACTTGCGATTTGCTTTACGAACAGGTACAGCAGGGGCATAACCAAGTACTTCATTATGCCTCTTTAGGACTTAGCGTAACTATACTATAACATGCCTCTTGGGTTGAGATATACATAGCCGGTTATATTATCTGATGCTGATGTATCCGGTACGTTCGGCTTCTTTGATCTCTAGATAGACGGCGTCGTTCTATTAAAATGTAGTAGATGGTAGGGCGACCAATTGCTTTTTCCCAATAGACTCGGGTATAAGAACGAATAACTAACATGTGAATTATAAAGCAGTGGCCTACTTTTCTCTCTATATCTTGGTTAAGGGATACATATCTAGGTATGTAGCCATGCTAATTACGAAGGTGGGCATAACGTATCGCAAGGGCGTAGCGTCTCACTTTTCCTCTCCTCTTAACTCCGCGGGAAGGTTTCCTTATACCGAAGACATGAATCAGAAGAGGTCTAATGATGAGGTCTAATGAAGTTATACCTAGCTTCTACATACATATGTCGGAAGAAAACTCGGGTATCATAAGAGAATCGGCCGACGCCTTCGCTACGTCATTTGTGGTATAACCCTGGCCGATGGCGCTGCCAACCTGCACCCCCTTTATCTCGGTACATACTGAGTGGTCATAAATGAGGCTACTCGTAAGGGTAACCAGGTATAATGCACGGTTGTCACAGAGGTAAGGGTTATCAGCTATCGTTAAAAAGCAAGCTATTGAATGATATTAGGTAGCTTCTTGTCTGCGGTATCTAGGTACTGTGTGACAAATAAAGTGATTATAAATGTCTTAGCAAAATACATAGGGACTAATATGTAGAGTCGAGTGTTTTGTCTCCGAGACTTGTGTTGATAAACAATACGTTAGGTAACTGTTTAGAGACTGGTCAATAGTATGATCAAACATCAACATCACGCGTGGTCAAAGATCGTTGTACGCATGAAATATCTACTAAGATTGAATGAATTGCGCATTAGGGGGCACTAGGCAGCCTGCAGATACATAAGTGCCTAGGTACATACCTAGCCTAGCCTATGCGTAGGTCCGTTGCCAAGTTGCCTATGTACATGTATGAGGTGGATACCAGAAGGTACCTAGGTACATGTACATATGCATCTTAGGCACGTATGTACTTTCTGCTCTGATGGAATTTACTGTCATTTACTGTCATAGAAGCCAGCTTAAACCGTAGGAAAAGACCTCGATTGCCGCATCGACTGACCAAACAGCCTCACTTCTCCGGTTTCGACAGTCCCCACTTCTCAGTAACCCCGTCATCGAAGCAGTACGAACTTTGTTTCGCCCGCCTGCTAAACACTTTACTAAGCCGTTAGCTCCGAGCCTATGTCCCACCCATTTAACTCGCCTTTCCCCACACCCAAAGGTGTGCCTTTATTTAGCTTGCGAGGCCACTTATCTGCCTGCATTGCGAATTGCCGCTTCGATTAGTGCACTCGCGTCCCCATTATTCTTACGACCTCAACTCGTCAACTCTTGAACTTTGTCCATTTAGACACCTACTTACCCATCTACTTATCTACCTCCTCCAACACATACAGCCACCTACAAACCCTCTCAGCATCGCCAACGTTTAGCAAGCGGTGTTGTACCAATTTCATTTCCGTACTTGTCAGGTGGTGTAAACATCACCTTGATTTCCGTACATGTAAGTTGTGTTCCTCATTCCCTTATTCCTTATTCCTTACGGCATTCACAAAACAGCATTAAGCCTTTCCCCTCCCGTTTCCCGTTTCCCGTTTCCCGCTTCCTGCTTCCTGCTGTGCATTGAAGTAGATCGGCGGTGTCTGCCTCGGACCACTTTCTTCCCTTAGGTTTCTTACTTGCCTCACTGGACACATTAATTCCGTCATCTCCTCACAATCATCGTATCTTTGATTCTTATTATTCTTGTATCATTTCCATCTCTTTTTACAGCTGTATTCATCTTACCCATATCGTTGGCCGACCGTCTGTCACTTGCAACACATATCATCCCTATTCATTGATTCGTTGATTCGTTGACATCTCTGTCCTGGCCCTTGATTGAGGCCACGATACGCACGTCTGTCAAATCTGACCGCCTGAATCTAGGAACCCCTGTACTACAACCATTTCCCTGATAAGTGGCAACTGACCACCTGACATCTTATTAATCTGATCTTCTTACCTTATGTACGTGCCTCCGTTTGCACCACCACCCCCGACCCTCTCCAAAGCCCTTAGCAGGGCACGTACCATCTTTCCAAACCATTGGCGGAACCGACACTTTTCCTTCCTCTCTCAACTCTCAACTAATTGTTAAACCCTAGCCATACTAACGAGAAGTTCTCCCCACCAGTCCGCCGGTCAAGATGGCTTCGTCGTCAATAGCTACTCCGGATACCTTGATTACTCTTAAAGTCAACTTCGATGGTGCGACTCGTCGTTTTAAGTTGCCTCTTCGCGAGCTTGTGTTGAGCACGCTCGAAGACAAGGTAAGCATTTATTTTATCTATTTTATCTACGTATAGCAAATTTCACCTTTTCATCTAACCTTTTCATCTTCCACCATCCGTTTCGTGGAATCCTACGCTAATATCGCTTTCGCAGCTCCGTTCTTTCCTACAGATTCCTGTTGGTACGCCTACCATTTATGAACGGTATTCCGATTCGGCTGGATCCTTCGTCGTCTTACATCCCACCAATGTTCCTGCTTACAAGCAACTTTATCGAGCTGCTAAGGCCAAGCAAAAGTTAAAGCTGCGAGTAACCACACAAGCCAAGCCTGAGCCCCAGCCCCAGCCCCAGCCCCAGTCCGAGGTCGAGGTCGAGGTCGAGTCCGTACCCGAGCCTGTACCTGTACCCCAACCGGAATTACATAAGATCCCTAAGCCTGTTACTGTTGAGGATGAGCCTGAAGCAGAGTCTCGAGAAGTAGCTGAGCCCGCTGCTCGTATTCCGTCACCAACGCTAGAGTCGTCTGCCCCAGTCTCTTCTGAGGTCTCCACTGGAATCTTAGACACTGTCCCCGTCTCCGACATTCATTCGAACCTACCGAACTTCGTTAAGCTATGGCAGACACATGGCAGACCCAGGATCCATCTAAAACGGGATGCCGAGGGCAAGGAGGTAGTTGACCTACTAAGCTCCACGTCTTCAGCCCCGGCCGAGCCTTTGATATCGCTAGAGTCGAGCGAGGAGAACGTACCTCGATGTCCTTTCTCTCGGACTGCATCGAAGATGGCCCACACTACTGACCTGACCTGGGAACCCCGCAAGAAAGAGACCGCTACCCCCAAGGCTCCGGAAGCCGCGGAGGCTCTATTCCCTACCGGTGTGATAACTGCGCCTATATTCGAAGATGAAGAGACGAAGATAAGCGATACGCTGATCACCCTCGGTGTCCCCAAGCGTCAATTCACTGTTTGCTGCAATAGCTGCGACCGAGCCGTTCCCGATGCTCATTTCCACTGTTCTACCTGCGATGACGGTGACTTCGACCTCTGCCAGGATTGTGTCAACCAGGGCATTACCTGCTACAACGAGGGCCATTGGCTCATCAAGCGTTTTATCAAAGATGGACAGGTCAATTACAGCACTACCCACATTGCTCCCAAAACTGCTCGTTCCCAAACAAGCAAGGCTCCCGTGAGTCTTCCTATCAGATCCGCTGAGAATGCCAACTGGGTACCTCCGACGAGATTTTGGGAGGCCACTTACAATGACCGCACCTGCAACTGCTGTGTCCAGGACTTCCCCGGAGAGGACTTCCTTCACTGCACCACATGCGACGATTACGATCTATGTAAGAGTTGCTTTGCTAAGAATAAGCATGGTCATCACCCTGCACATGGATTTGCTCCTGCTGTCAAGGGTACCATCTTCGATCATGATGTATCTTCGCTCTTGTCTCCCGGCCGAAATGCCTCCCACAATGCCATCTGTGATGGCTGCGACAAGTATGTCCGAGGCGTCCGACACAAGTGCCTAGACTGCCCTGATTGGGACTATTGCTCGGAATGTGTTAAAAATGCCGAGTTCATTCACCCCAACCATCGTTTTGTAACAATCTACGAGCCCTTGACTGATCGCACATTCCGCCCCACGATGCGTGGTACACACTACGGCATCTGCTGTGATGGACCGCTATGCTCAGCATCCCGTGTTCGTTCGAGATATATTGTCGGTGTACGGTATAAGTGTGCTGTCTGCCACGATACCGACTTCTGCGCCAACTGCGAGGCTAGCCCCTCCAACACGCACAATAAGACGCACCCGTTGATTAAGTTCAAGACTCCAGTACGTCACGTCAGCGTTACTACTACCGGTGAGCATGAGGATGGTCAGCGCCTCCCCACGATGGGCGATCGTGTCCGACCTATCACTATTAATAATGCGACCGTGGCTGCTTCAGTACGCGAGAGCATTGCTGCCACGCCTGTGCAGACTGTAGTCGACGTGCAACCTACCGAGCAGCAATCACCTGAGACGGAGGAGACGGACGAAGTCAAGATCAAGAGCGAAGTAGTAGAACCCGAGGTAGCCGCCTCGATCGAGAAGAAGCCAACCTCAGGTGAGCTCATTGCAGTCTTCCTACAGGACACCATTGCCGACGGAACTGTTCTACCACCGAACCATACTTTTGAACAGGTCTGGATTGTTCGAAACGAAGGTACCGTCCCGTGGCCAGCCGGCTGCTCTGTCAAATTCGTTGGTGGTGATTACATGGGTGCAGTCGACCCCGCACACCCTGCTGGTATCCACGAACTGGTCTCAGCCTCGGAGTCAACCGTCTGCTACAACGCGCTTAGCCCGGGCCAGGAATTCCCCTTCACTGTCTTGATGCGGACTCCAGACCGGGAAGGCAAGGTAATCTCGTATTGGCGATTGACGACCCCAGATGGTGTCAAGTTTGGTCACAAGCTGTGGTGCGACGTAACTGTTCAGGCACCCCGTGCCAAGGTTGTCTCAGCAGAGTCTCAGCATGAACGTGAGGTTATCACCAGCCCGGCACCAGCTCCTAAACTAGCCGAAAGCCAGATGATTATCCCTAGACTAGAGCACGAATCGCCGGCTGCTAGCATGCACGAGAAGGCTCAGCCAGAGAGCGAACTGGAGGCAGAGACGGCTACTCTTGCCCAGTCAGTACAGGATTCACAGGATGACGACTTTGAAGACTGCGGCGAGGATGACGAATGGGCCGAGTCTGATGATGGTTTTATGACAGATGAGGAGTACGATATCCTTGATGCATCAGACGAGGAGTATCTCTCGGAACAGCACAAATCTAAGTCCAGGAAGTAAAATCGTAATAAGCATGCCGGGCACAATACTCTGGTGCCGGGAATCCGGTGCGGCTAGAGAAAGGAATTGAGGGGGGGATAGGGACTCAGTTGCAGTGTGATGATATTCGGTTCCCCATTTCCTCTCACGGGTGTTAATTGTTTCGGAAGTTTTCGATTCGGTGATGGCTTCTCTCTTCCTGGCTATGGGTCTCCATAGCCTTTACACATCTCAACTACAGTCCACTCGTTAGATAATAGGAACAGATTGGCACGCGAAGGAGCTGTAGGGATAGTTTCCAGTAGCTGAATTTACTCGTGTTTTTTCCCGAGTTATGGGTGAAGTGTTTCTTGATGTTGTATGTGATGTTGTATGTGTACAGTCTACCTTGTATTTCGAGTATGTATAATTGTATTCCTTCTTTGCTGTTTTGATATTATGTTTATGAAGTTTATCATACAAGATATGTACTTACCTAGGTACACATCTAGTTGTAGTATTATTAACTATCACTAATTGGAAATTCGGTAAGTGGGTACGTAAGCGCTTCGTAGTGAATATCCGATTAGGACGATATTTGGTCGATTGACCCCACTTTTGCATTCCTCCAAATTCAGCCGCGAGGAACTGGAAGGGTCCCCCCCACATACAAACCGGGACCCATTTATTTTGGGTGCAGTAACAGGGGTTAGTTACAGGCGACGGTTCCCTAAAATGTCAATTCCTTTTGGTGCAAGTTGTCCTCTATCCTCTAATAGCTACGACTTCACTTTCAACCTTTCACCCTCCTTGAAATCGTCAATCCGAACTACCACGACTTCTTATGGTCTAATTCGAACCCGAATTCGAACCCTATCCGACCAGTCCTCATAGACAATCTCTCACAGCCTCCCGAATTGAAGCAGATGCCGTGCTAGCGCCGCCCCAGCTAGACAGTCTCGAGGAGCCTGCAGCAGTGCGCTGGAGAAGTTCTGAATCGCGTGCTCGAGCGCTGGATAGAGAGGATACTTTTTCACCATGAACGGCTATAACGAGAAAAGTCACCACTACGATGACGAGCCCGAACCTGGTAGCTTCGTCAAGGCTTTTGACGCCTTCCGTAAGCACGCCTGTTTTTATTTCACCTTTCACCTTTCACCTTTCACCTATCTCTCCCTCCCCTCCATACTATTTATTCCAAGACCCCTAGCTAACCAGCAATCTTGCAACCCTAATAGCGAAAGCCAAACCCCAATATGTAACGCGCACGTCGGGCGGCGGCAAGTGGACCGTTGTTATGTACATCGTGTCGTGCATACTGCTATGGTCGGAAGTAGCGCGGTGGTGGCGCGGCGAGGAGACGCACACGTTTGCGGTCGAGAAGGGCATCGGCCACAGCATGCAGATCAACCTCGACATCGTGCTCAAGATGAAGTGCAAGGACCTGCACGTCAACGTCCAGGACGCTTCGGGCGATCTCATCCGCGCCGCCTCCCGCCTGCAGGAAGACGTGACGAACTGGGGCCAGTGGGTCGACGCCAAGGGCGTTCATCGATTGGGTCGCGATAGCCACGGCCGCGCTGTTACGGGTGCTGGTTGGCATGAGGAGGGGTTTGGCGAGGAGCACGTCCATGACATCGTTGCTATGGGACGCAAGAAGGCTCGTTGGGCCAAGACTCCTAGGCTATGGGGCGCTGAGGCTGATAGCTGTCGTATCTATGGAAGTCTGGATTTGAATAAGGTCCAGGGCGATTTCCATATTACTGCGAGGGGCCACGGTTACTCTGACCCGGCGGTGCCTTCGCATTTGGACCATGGTGGTATGTCTAATTCTTTAACCCCCTTTTCGCTTGAACCAAACACTAACCCACATCATCAGCCTTCAACTTCTCCCACGTCATCTCAGAGCTCTCCTTCGGGCCATACTACCCGTCCCTAGTCAACCCCCTCGACCGGACTATCAACATCGCCGAGATGCACTTCTTCAAGTTCCAGTACTTCATGTCGGTAGTGCCCACCATCTACAGCGTGCAGCGGGGGTCCGGGTCGGCGCCGGCCGAGCGCACCATCTTCACGAACCAGTACGCCGTCACGGAGCAGAGCAAGGAGATCAATGAGCGCATGGTGCCCGGCCTCTTCTTCAAGTACGACATCGAGCCCATCCTGCTGCACGTCGAGGAGCGCCGCGACGGCCTTATCACCTTCGCTATCAAGATCGTTAATATCCTGTCTGGCGTCTTGGTCGCGTGTAACTGGGGCTTCACGCTGAGCGACTGGGTGCGCGAGATTATTGGCCGTAGGAAGAGGCAGGTTAGCGAGGGTGTCATTGGTGCAAAGGGTGGGTATGACGAGTAGAAGTACATAAAGGGGCAAAGGAACGAAAAAAGACGATTTGGTTTTGGCATCTTGTTTTGGCTAGGCATATTCTTGTTCTAGAGCCATGGAGTTCGGGGCGGTATGGCGAGGTCGGTATATATATAGTATCAGTGTCATTATCAACATGAACGATTTGAAGTCAATTGCTTGACTTGTTCGTGATCCTCTCCCTGTTCCGTAAAACAAAAGGATAATAGACAAACAGTTGTAGTATCTGTAGTCGACATCTATTCCCCCGTTTACTTCTTTTGCTGATCTAGACTGATCTAGAAAGGGGTAACCCGCGACTTATACCCCAAACCAAACAACCAGCAAGGCCCTCACTTATTCAAACGAAATGCTCCAAGTCCAAAAGCCGAATAAGCGGAGCAAAATCCCAAGATGATAAAGAAAGTCACGCATGATGTAGAAAAAGGACGACTGATTCGTAGACTGGCAACAACACACCACTTTAATATCCTCGAGATATAAATTATCTACCCTGACACAACCCACATTAAGTGCCTAGGTTAGGTACCTATGTATATTGCTACATTAAAGCTAGCTAACGTGATACTTTTCAACGTATACTCATTCTGATCCCCCTTTTCCCAATAAGCAGACTCCTAAACTCGTTTGCGTAAGTAGTTAGCCGGGGACTTCCCTGGCTCTTCGGTATTTGATATTGATGCTTTATAACGTATATATGTACCTGTTAGGTAGCCTATCTATATACCCCCTTGGATATTAGCAAGAGGAATTCGAGCCGAGCCAAGCTGCCGGTTCGAAGCTCGCACGCACACTAGTTCTTCTAACAAAGTTTGGTCAAATCGACTCAACTCGACGCGCTATAGCAGTAATAGCGCATCTTCGTCGAGCCGTCCGAACAGGTCCTTGATTTCCTTCTCTACAACCTTTAGCTCCTTCGCCAGCTGGCCCGTAACTAGAGCATAGGCGTATAGGAGCGCATAGTCCGGTTCCTCTACGACGATGTCACCTAGTGATGGGATCCTAACCCTAAGACCACTTTTGGCATTCGCATCCCCGTCGCCGTTCTCCCCGGTCGTAGACGAGGCTTTACCACCATCCTCCGCCGTGGCTTCGATATGGTTGTGCTCCTTCCTGAAACGAAATATCTTGCCTAGTAGCTTGTCTCGGATAACCATAACACCCGGAATGGCGTCCGTCAGGGGGTATTCGAGCATGATGCTGGATGCGAGCACCTGAAACACGTGGCATATTCGCGCGCACAGCTGCTCTCGCTCCTCTGCCGTGTAGTACAACAATGCTTTCTCGCCGTCGCTAAGGCGGCCGTGCTTCTGCGTCACCAAGCTCATAGCGTGGAACGCGTCGAGCGCTCGTTGCGTCGAGGACATAATGCGCCCGTACGCCTCGAAGGGGAATGGCCCGCGAAGTTCGTACTCGTTATTTGCCGCGACGCGAAGCGTCTGCAGCTGCGAAGCGTACCGCTGCATAGCAGCCTGCTCGCCTATCTTCATGTAGCTCGCAGCTGCGGTATCATTACGAAGGAGGACAGCTAGCGGGCCTCGCTTCCAGACGAGTCCCATTTGTAGATAAAGAACTGCTAAACCCTCCTTGAACTTTTGACGAGCAGGCATGGGCCAGATCAGGCGGCATATAATGAGACCCCAGATAATGCCGACAGACACCGCCACAACTCTGTGGAAAGCGATGGAACTGATAATTGGGTGGATTCCACCTTCGTCGTCATCATCATCATCGACATTCTGCGTGAGCGAATATGCGTATAATGAGGACACGTTGTAGCTTAACAATATGAAGCGACCAAATGCCGGATTACCGCGATCGATCATGATATAAAACGCACCGAAGGCGACGGCCCAGCCTAAGAAGACGAGCGCGAAAACGTTGCCGTCCGATATCCACCAGTTGATCAAGACAAAGGCAGCACCCATGATAGTACCTGTGAAACGAGACCAGCCAGTAGCGTTGGATGCACCCACAGTCATCGAGCACACGATCATGAAAGACAGAAGACCCCACTCGCCTCGCCAGTGCGCGTATATTGGCCGTGTTTGAGGAATAAAGGCGAACATGGCGTAGAGAGCAGCGCCAATACCGACTTTAAGGCCGAAACGAACTATATCAAAATGTTAACAAGAAGAACCATCCGAGGAATAGGGGCACATGAGTTGAGACTTACTATCATTCCTTGCAAGAAACTTGAAGAATTTCAACAAAGTCCGAGAGGCCGTTCGAACGAAATGATCCCATAAACCTTCACCTTGCGGCGCTGCATCCCAGCTAAAGGTGCCACGCCGCTTCATGGTCTCAGGGATGCCCTGAGGTAGTTTAGACTGCTTTAACCTCTTGACCGGTTGAAGCAGGGACAGTTGCTCTGGGTCTCCTTTCTTTGCCTTTGATGAGAAACTAATGTGTTTCCAAAACATCATCCATTTCCACGTCCGCTTGCCCTGCTCGCTAACATCTCGCAAGTCGTCAACAGTGTCCAGGTATATCTGCATCTCGTCTGCAAAACTAAGCAGACTAAATGAGAAGTGCCCGCACGCTGCGGCTACCTCCTCGAAATCAGCTTGGATAGACTCAGATCTAGTCCTGCCTAGTTCGATCGTCTTATAGATTTCTTCTAGCGCATTTCCTCTCGCCTGGTTATATAGGGATATCGCATCACCAAGGCTCTGCTTGAACTGTTCGTTAATGTTGATTGGTGCCCCTGGAGCTCCGAATAGGGGTTCTCTGAGCATTTCGGCCATCGTGTGGACTAAAGATTTCATCGACGGGCCGAGGCGCGCGATGAATAATTCGAAGATATCAGGTGGGCTCCTTAACGATGAACTAGACGCAGACAACAGAGGCGGCGCCTCTTGTGTAGGTGCTACATCATCCTCCCTGTCGCTTCGTTCGTCGGATGCCTCATCAATAGGACCAAGAGGATTGACTCTGTTACTTCCGCTCTTCAATGTCGCCGATAAAGACCTACCAAAAGTAGGCGAGAAGGGGTTTGTACCTTGAGAAAATGGAGAGGTCGCCGAATGGGAGGATAATGGCCTGAAAGATACTTCTTTCAAGAGCTCGAATTGGGTATTAGCCGCACTCCTCAGACCACCGAGCGACTGAGCCAAGTTTTCCATCGACTTTACTACAGCCTTATCGTGCCTATATATTTGCTCTTGTCCTAGGATGTAGTATTCATATTTCGATTCCCGAGCGTTTTTGTTCATTTGAGACAGAGTTGAAGCGTATCCAGCTGAAGCCTTCGTAAAGGCACTCGAAGTGAAATCCTCTTCAGCACCACTGAGGAACCCGCTCGCTATCATAGACAACATGTCGCCGAGCGATGTAGACGCGCTTTGCATAGATTTTCGTAGCGCCAGCCTCGCAGAAACCGGCCACAAGACCAAGTTAACTAGAGTTGATATGACAGTGGCCATAAGTAAAATCTTGAGCGACTGTATAATCTTCTGATTAGTGAAGACGCCCGTATGGACCGAGTTCTCTTTTGTCACAATAGTGATGATGCCGATGGATGCTATACTGGCACCAACGCTCACGAGAGGATTATTAAGCTTCTGCTTAACCCATCCAACAAATCCCAGTCCACCTCCGATGAATATTGTGAGAACTAGAATGTAAGATAGCTCGACCATGTCCAAGACTGACCCGAAGAGCACCGAAGTGGCCATGGACAAGGTTCCGATAAACATGGCATAACACACGGCGACGACAGCAATAGCAACAGCTTCTATCTGCGAGCCTGTCGACCTGGCCGGGTGGAAATAGACAGTAATGGTAGCGACGATATGCTTCCCATCCATTGGACCCAGAAACCTGGCAGCAGGGCGCCAAAAGGTGCCCATGCTAGCCAGCAGGTATGCAATAGAGCATTTTATCGTGCCTCGACCTTTTGGCGAATTCATCCATTCCCATAGATTGCCAGACGCTACGCGAGTATTGTGCCACAAGTTGCGAGCCTTTTCCTTCATCGTGCTACCTTCGGTGAGGGGGCGTATGTCGTCATCGTCGCCGGGGCCATCGAGATGCGGATATCGCAGGGAAAACTGGCGGCGAGTGCGTTCACCGGTACCGGGAACAATCCAGGTGCCATTACGCAGTTTCTGTCGTCGCGGAGGCATCGCGTTAGCATTTAACTCTTCTACCACCGTCTTGAAGATAATATATGAAATAATATATGGACACGTTTAGAATTTAAAGTCGCACGCGGAGACCTGACGCCACTAATCCCGCCATAGTCCGATGACATGTAAAGAATAAAGAAACGGAAATAAAAGGGGAAAAAATAGAAAGAAATAAAATAAAAGATCGGTCAGTTGTCATAATAATAATAATAATAGAGTTTTTTGCTTACACTCCTCGCCGGTACTCTGCTAAGAGGTCGTGGTAGTCTCGAAGCTCCACCAGTACCGGGGTCATTACTAGTATTACTGTCGCTGGTCATAGCTTGATATTCGACGACGGCCCTCTTCTTCCTCTTTCGTCCCGCACGGCTCTCCTAGAATCGCTGCGGCATTGTCAACGAGGGAGAGAAAGATACTCTGTAGAGACGAGGGAGATGATATGCCGTTATCCAAAAATGACACAAAAAAAGGTTGTGCTATGTAAGCTGTAACACGCGTCCCTAGGGATGACAGACAGCCTTTAGGTCACTTGACGATGTTATGTAGAACCCATAACTTTTGGCGGTTATGGCAGACCCACTTATTGTCTAGGTACCTAGGTATAAATTCGTCATTTTAACCAATGGAATGCCACTTCCTGACCAAGTGCGTCATCGCACGCGCTTCTACCTGCAATGACCCAATTGGGAGTGGAAACAAACGGTAGCTGCACTCCCCACCCAAACCCCATCTCCTCCGAAGCCGATCGACGCTACTTACATGTACACTATGTGCATACCTACATACCTACCTACAAGGTACATAACCTAGGTTGTAGCTTGCAACACCAAAAGTTACATTACACGATCCCTACGAAGCTTAGCCCCCTATTCGACCTTCGCAGCAACCTTCGCAGCATTATCATAGGCAGCTTTTATTTACTTACTTACTTACTTACGGACTTACTTTCCAACCTCGCTAGCTATCCACCGCTCAAAGCAATACAACCGCATCGCTACCTGACTCCTCCTTACATCAGGTAGCTGCACCTATCCACAGGGGAAAACGCCAAAAAGGAGAAACAAAAGTCGTACCACCCACTGAAAGATAGAAAGGGGAGGGGGAAGAAGCAAAAGCAGCAGCAGCAGCAGCAGCAGCAGCAGCAAATAACAAACACAATGGCCAACCTCCCCTCCCAACACCCGCACCTCTCCCTGCACCTAACCGACCGCTCCCTCACCCCCCTCATAACCTCAGCGCCGCGCTCCCCCTCGCGCCTCGAAGCCCTAACCTCGCTCTCCCACGCCGCCCTCAGCGCCCACGAATCCGCCCTGCGCCTCGGCCTAGGCGCCCCCCTGCGCGTCATGGTCGAGCACGCCGACTCGGGTCCCATAGTCCTGCAATCCTTCCTACGCGCCGACGCCAACCCCAGCCCAACATCCACCACCAGCGACACCGACCCCAACCCTCCTTCCACATGCGCATCCGCGTCCGCATCCTCCACCACCACCACCACCACCACCAACCCCGAGCCCACAAACGGCACCCCCGCCACCCCCGTCGAGCGCCGCCTCCAACACCTACAATTCCCCGCCCCCGAGCCCCAAGACCCCGACCCCGACGCCAACGCCAACGCCAACGCCCCGCCCATGCTAATCAGCGTCGTCGTCGCCCCTAGCGCAGACGAGGCCCGCGACGCGCGCCGCGCCGCGGCTAGGCTCGAGCGCGTGGGCCGCGCGGTACAGGCGCAGTGGGCCGAGGTGCAGATGGTGCAAGACGGGGGGCCGGGGGATACCGGAGATTGAAGTAAGGAGGAGGAGGAGGAAGAAGAAGAAGAAGAAAAGAAAAGAAATGGATGGATGGATGGATGGATGGATGAAGAAGAGGCCGGGGACAGGGAACAGGGGGAGAAATGTTATGGCAACGATATAGAGGTATCGATCAGCTCGGCCAGCTAAGTCCAGGCCAGGAGGAGGAACTGCCGTGTTCCCACCCAGAGAGATTCGCTACACTACAGCTTGGAGCAAGCAGTTCGAAGAGGTGCTTCTGGAGTGGAAAGGGGTTGAGAGCGAGTGGAAGTGCAGCCAGCATGTAGCTAGAAGAAGTCAGCCAGATTGTCCACGATGGGAGATCTACATGGATTATGTGGACTATCTGACTGGCGCGTTGCTTTATACTGGGTTACGAGAGGGCCATCTCTAAAAGCTATTCTTACTTCAAACACACCAAGAGTACAATTATAGCTAGACGTCGAAGAATAGGCACGGCATTAAGTAGCACTATCACAAACCAAGTTTGGGTTCCCAGAACATATAATCTAGACCCGATTATCACTTCATCTTAACATATTACAACGTAACAAGAAACCCGCATTTCATAAGTAGGCCAATTTGTATTTATCTACAGATAGCCTCTATAGGGATACTTCTGTTTAATTCATTGCATTTCTCGTGATATCGGATTATTTTGGCTCGCAAATCTATATGTCCACGAACACCGTCTGGTTCATTGCGCCAACTAACATAACCGCACCAAGACTAAACAACATCGCTAGTCTAAATTTTTAAATGAGCTGCTGGAACGCGCGGTTGATAGGCGAACGGATGTTGGGGACGTCCTTCCAGAACTCGACGGTGGCGACAGCCCTCTTCGAGACACCTTCAGGGGTGAATTCGAATTTCTGTTCTCTTAATTAGCATATACTCGACATACCAGGGCCGGGGAAACTTGCCTTGTAGACGTCCTTATAAGCGCCAGAAGCACCGAATCGGTTTAGGCCGAACTGCTCGTGGGTATATCTCTCCCAACCCATTGTGCTCATGACCTCGACGGATAGAGACGGGATACCGTCAGGGAGAACGCTCAGTCTGTATTCCTTGGTTTGCGCGTCGAAGACCTCGAAGCAGGGAATGGATACGACACGCGCCTTCAGGCCGTGGTTCTCTTGGAGGTACTTGACAGCGTCAATGCAGATGCAGACTTCCGAACCGGTTGAAACGAGTGTGATGTCGGCACCCTCAACATCGTGCAAGACGTAGCCACCCTTGTTCGCCTTCTCGATGGTCGAACCCTCGAGTTGAGGCAAGTTTTGTCGCGATAAAGCGATGATGCTAGAGGTGTGCTTAGACGTCAAGGCCACGTAGTAAGCACTGCTGGTCTCGTTACCGTCTGCCGGTCGCCATACCATCATGTTAGGCAGGGCGCGGAAGTGGGCGAGTGTCTCGATCGGTTGGTGAGTAGGACCATCTTCACCGAGACCAATAGAGTCGTGGGTGGCGACCCAGATAGTTCGAACTTGCGACAGCGCAGAAAGACGCACGGCACCAGCAGCATACGAGACGAAGTTTAGGAAAGTACCTGAGTATGGGATAAGGGTGCCGTAGGCAGCAATACCGTTCATGATAGCGCCCATACCGTGCTCACGGACACCGTATCGGATGTATCGGCCGGCGTAGTTACCCAGCCCAGTCGATGGTGGCTGAAAGTCGGTAGCTTCCTTCCATCGTGTCAAGTTAGACCCTGTCAAATCGGCGGAACCACCAATGAGCTCAGGAATAGCAGCTTCGATCTTCGACAGAACGATCTCGGAGAGCTTTCGAGACGCTACGGCAGCATCCTTAGGGGTGTATACGGGAAGGTTCTTCTCCCAACCTTCGGGGAGGTCGCCCTTCAGACGACGGGAGAGGTCGGCATGCTCGGCTTGGTACTTTGTAGCGTAGCTAGCGAATAGCTTGTTCCATTCTTCTTCAAGAGCTGCGCCCTCGGTAGCCTTCTTGCCATATAAGTCGTACACTTCTTGGGGTACGACAAAAGACTGTTCAGGGTTGAAGCCGAACTTCTGCTTGAGCTGCTTAATGTCGTCAGCCTTCAGGGGGGAGCCGTGAACTCCGTGGGTACCCTGTTGCAGGGAACCAAAACCGATAGTAGTCTTGAGCTTGATCAATGAGGGCTTGTCCTTGACGTCTTTGCACTTTTGGATAGCCTTCTCGATGGCCTCAAGGTCGTTGTCACCATCAGTGACAATTTCAACGTGCCAGCCGTACGCCTCGTATCGCTTAACGACATCCTCGGTAAAAGCGCAAGCGGTGTCACCGTCGATAGTGATCTGGTTGTCATCGTAGATAGCGATCAAGTTGCCTAGTTGCAAGTGACCAGCCAAAGAGCTAGCTTCGCTAGAAACACCCTCCATCAAGCAACCGTCTCCCAGGAAGCTGTAGGTGTAGTTGTCGACAAGAGGGAAGCCATCCTTGTTGAAAGTAGCAGCTGTTTGGGCCTGAGCAATAGCAAGACCAACAGCATTGGAGATACCCTGTCCAAGAGGACCAGTAGTAACTTCGATACCCGGGGTATCATGGGCCTCGGGGTGTCCGGGAGTGATACTGTCCACTCTCTATACTTTGTAAGTATTACAACTACCTTATAGTACGATAAGTAAACTCACTCGGAAGTTCTTAATGTCATCTATAGATAGTTCATATCCAAAAAGGTGGAGGAGAGCGTATTGGAGCATGCATCCGTGCCCGTTGCTAGACCCGTAATCAGTGGCGGAAAGAAATAGTCGAAACTTAATTTGGCTTGATTTGACTTACGAGAGAACGAATCGATCACGGTTCAGCCACTTTGGGTTCTTGGGGTTGAACTTCATGAACTTGTTAAATAGAACGTGGGCAACCGGTGCCATACCCCTTATATCGGTTAGTATAAAGGGCTTCTTCCCTAAGTAACCAAGACGATGCTGGCTATCGGTGTTCAGTTACTCACATGGGCGCGCCAGGGTGGCCCGAGTTGGATGCGAAGGTGGCATCGACCTAGAAGAAGACAATTGTCAATACAATTTTCTCTATCCTGCTAAAGATACTCGTGATGTAGGCAAGAAAAGGGCTCGCAAAGCTTCAAATGAGCTCACGATGGACGATGGACGATGGAGGGGCAAAGCGGGGGCGGGGTTAACTGAAGAGAGTCGTCATCTTACAGCAAGAACACGGATCGTGTTGATGGCGAGCCAATCTGTCTCGGTGTATCCCATGGTTGCGGTTTTTACGACGATGCCTTGGGAATTGGTATTAAAAGAAAGTCGATGGAGGAACGGAAAAGGTTTGAGGGAAGAGAAAGAGAAGGTGGGAAGATTTGCGGGTGGTTAAAGTGTTTTTTTGGTTTTCTGGACGACCGGCAACGGTCTTCCAATGGGTCCTTAGTCTTAGCTTTAAGGCTTCTTAGTGGAGAGAACAAGGCCTGACACGATGTATGTATCTAATCGGTAACAGCTTCTTTCAGGCAACATGTTACATAGATGATCAATCATAGGCAAGGGCAAGTACTCTTAGCGACATGGGCAAGTATAATGCGCTACATTGTACATGTATGTAATGTACATGTAACTAGGCAAGTGGGGGTGGGGTTTTTGTTCTATGTAATGTACCTAATGTACATGTATGTAATGAAGTGGACTGAGTGGACTGAGTGGACATATGGAAAGCTAGGAATCGGATCCGATAGTTAAACGGCTGCTGGTTGCTTAGGTACCTTAGGTAGGTACATGTATGTAACCTAGAAGACTTCCTTAATAGACTAGATCATCAGCGGCATTATTTCGTCACCCTCTCCCCTTATCAAAACCCTCAACATAATAGGCTTGCCAAGGTCTAGTGTAAGTCATCTCCAAAACATCTTCTCCACCAAAGTCCAACAACGCCTCAACTGACTTTTTTTCTTCGCGAAGGTAATAGGTAAACTTGTTCAAGGCTACTTTGCCACTAAGTTAGGCCAATACGGTGATATATCATAATAGCTTCTATAAACTATGTACGTCATCTCTTCACCGTTCAGCTTTTTATATTCACGATTTCATTCCGAGATCTTTAAGACTTTGTAGTACAATTCCATCTATATAAGAATGTTTTCCTGGAGTAATGCTGCAAAATCTTGCCTACATGTGACATGTCTCTTACTACGCAAAAGGCACAAACAACCCCTGGTTGAGATATATATCCCTAGGTAAGATATATTATACTCAGCGCATCTTACTCTAAACGCAACTGCAGCCCGCTCTCCAGCCCTGCAAGTCAAATTCATTGCCACCCATCTGGTAGGTGCGGGAAAAGGCTCATCACCTACGGCAGCGTCTAGTATGAGACTAGTACCTAGTTGCCCGGGGGATTGGTACTATAACTACTGCCATCTACCTTGTAACCATCGGGTAATAAGCATAGCATCCTGTTCTGCGCCCGTACGTATCCAGGTAACCGGGATACTCTACAATCATAGACATCTGTCTCCCGGTAGGTTCTATGTATAGGTAGGTACCTACTAACTCAAGGCTGGTTCTAAGGATTCGATTACTCGTCGGACTTAGGACATTGTATATATTTATCTTGATATCAATACCCACGTCAGCCTTTGTAAGCCTCTGTGTATGTTAGGCCTGGGCAGTTCTCGGTACTAAAAGCCTAATGGTAGAAAATAATCCCGAAAGGTGCGCCATATTAGATACTCCAGAGTTCGCAGACGCACTTGGCAAGCCTATTCCAGCAACGTGAGTAAGGGGAGGAACATTATTCGAGGGTCATTTCACCTTGATTGTCTAACACCTCTTACCGTACCAATAGCAGGTCACCTTGTCCTTTGTTAAATCTCTATCAAATACTTCGCCGCTAGCCTCGCGGCTATGTACATTGTATAAAACATCACGCCTTCTTGCTTGGTTATCTCGATATGTAAGTCAAATCGGTCGGGTCGGCCGGAGTGTCTGGGTACTGACTCAAACACCCTTTATCCTAACCATATGGAGAATAAATTATTTATACCTCGGTCCAAGATGTTTGCTGTGTGAATTTGCTGGATAAAGTGGCAAAAGTTCGGAGTTACCGGTATTCTGATAACTCTTCATTATTGTTACTGAATTGGTGTTTGTAAGAAAAGAAATTTAAAAAACCTCCGTTATATTAGTTATATAAAAACCTATATATATATACCAGATCTATATATGAACAATAAATATAATTAACATACATCATATAACATACTATCTATCTCAAGTACGTACATATTAAAAGCGCAGGAACAAAATGACTTTAAGTATTGGCCGTGTATTTTTTTATGAGGCATCCACTTAACGATTTCGAGTGACTTGAAAATTTTGACCAGACAAATCCTCAATCTTGCAAATGAAATAAACAAAAACCCAAAAATAAAATAGACCAACATAGCTGGAATACAATAAAAGATGCATAGTAACAGGAGAAGATCACCGCAGCGAGCCCCAAAAGCACACACCTATCCCCTCAAAGGAGCCGCGGCAAAAAAGTCAAAGCCATCCAAGCCCACCCCTCGCGCCTCCAAATCAACAGCAGAGGACACAACAACAGAGGACCCTACCCCAGTCCCGACAGAGGAACTCCAAACCCAACAACAGCTCCTCGACATCTTCAGCGCCGCATTCGCCCCAGCCCTCAGCGCCCCCGACTTCGCCGCCGTCCTGCAGAAACTCAAGCAAGCCCTCTTCAACCGGGACTTCGCCGCCGCCTTCGGCAGCGAGCAGAACCTGCAAGTATACGCCGCGCGATGGAGCCCGCCGCGCGCGCTGTGCTACGGCGGGGTGTTGCGGCAGATAGCCGCTGAGCTGGAGCCGCTGTTGCTTACTACCGACGACGGGGAGGGCGAGGGCGAGGTAGACGAGGTTGAGTCCGGACGGGTTTCGCCGACGCTCGACCTGCGGGATGCGAAGCGCACCGCTACGCTGCGGATGCTTGCGATCGGCGGCGGCGCCGCGGAAATCGTCGCTTTGGGCGAGTATCTCCGGACCGCGGGGGTCGCGGTCTCCGGCGACCTCACGTTGCTGGACACCGGCCCCTGGGGCGAAGTAGTCCAGAAGCTACACGCCGGCCTGACGACTCCGGCGCCGGGATCTAAGGACGCGAGCGCTACGGCCAAGGGAACTAACGCGGCCCTCGTCGAGCCGACAGAGCGTCTGCGGTCGACTTTCGTGCAGCAGGATGTGCTCCAGCTCGACGGCCCCGGGCTCTCGAGTCTACTGGGCCAGACGCCGCTGCTCGTCACGTTGCTGTTTACGCTCAACGAGCTGTACACGTCCGGCGGGATCAAGATGACGACGGCGTTCCTGCGGAACCTAAGCGTCACTATTCCGGCCGGTTCGCTGCTGCTTGTCGTCGACAGCCCAGGAAGCTACTCAGAAGCGGCGGTGGGCAAGGAAGCGAAGAAATACCCCATGCATTGGCTTTTAGATCACACTCTCCTCCAAGCCGGCAAGCTGCCAGCCGAAGGGTGTCGGTGGGAGAAGATACAATCACACGATTCGATCTGGTTCCGCCTCAGCGAGAAACTGCGGTATCCTATGGATTTGCAAGATATGCGCTACCAGATGCACCTGTACCGGGCCATCTCCCGGTCTTCTGACTGAGGAAGCCCACGTCTACGTGCAGCACTCTAAATACATGCTCCCAACCACTGGTTTACCACCACTAGCCAAGGAATGTCTACTAGTATATCATGCCCAAACCAGCTTCTTTATGCTGTGACCTAACTGTTCTAGAATGCCCGTGCTCCGCTTCGCCTCGGCGAGCGAGATGATATCGCCTTTCTCGACGATGCTCTTTCGTTCCCCCGAGCTGGCTGGAGCCGGTTGGTTGTAGAATACCAGCCGCTCGATCTCCGTCGCGATGACGTTGATCTGCTCGCTCTCTGTCATCTTCTTCACGTCCTTCGTGTCCGACACGGCCGTTGTGGAATGCAGTGCTTTTAGAGCGATCTTTCGCGGCACCTGTGCCTGTGGCTTACCTGTGATGGCGTTGAAGATGCCCTGGTTTAGAATGCCGGACACGGCGGCCGGCACCGCAGCCGTATCCAATGATTCATCAGATTGCCCTGACATGCTGGAAAGCGACCGTGTATTGGTCCTCTTGATATCAAACTTGCCCGGCTCGTAAGTCACGACGAGGCCAACGTTCTTCGACTCGTCGGCCTCCGCGGGGGAGATGGCTGAGGTTATGTACGTGCCGACCTTGATACCGACTATATGAGCCAAGTCCACCCTTTCGAATGATGATACCTTGTCGAGCTTCCAGTCGAACCGGCACAAGTACAATGCCGTGTCGGTTAGAAGAAGTACCACTTCTTCGAACGGTAAAGCCTTAAGAGTGTCGGATATATGAGGGCTCAGCAAAGTCCACCCGCCAATAAAATCCTCCTTGTCATCTTCTATGGCGATCTTCTGCGATGTCTCGATAGCCTGCTCTCTCATCTTTGACATTGAGACCCCGGGGTCCTTGCTCATCATGGTTGCTTCGAACTCTTCGAACACCATGGAGGAAACGTTGCCTAGGAAAAAGTCGATAGCGGCCTGAGAGAAATAATCGTTCACCATTCTAGCACATAGTGTAAGTAAGAATTATATTAGTTCAGGTATACAAGTATTTCTTACCCGTTATAAAACCGCGTTAAGGATAAGCCGAGGTCGTTCACCATCCCGCGATAATCCCGTTTTCTTGTCCTGGTGTAGTCGCCTTTCATCGCTGACGTAGAGGCATCTAAATTACGAGTTAGAAATATTAAAAATTCTAGCTCTCTCATAAGGCCAGCAGGATCTCAATATCTTAATTGGGTAAGGGGTTGACTGACATTGTTTGGATATAGCGTCTCCATTATCGGCCCAGAGAGTATTAAACCATGAGTTCTCCTGGTCAAGCTGGACTGACATGTCGAAGCCCTCTTCTTTCATCTGCAGATCAAGCATAAACTTGCCAAAAGAACTTTGGCAAACATTAGTACGATCGAGGCAATCCATACAATTCGTTCTCAGAACGCCATTCTGCTTCCGTTCTATTTGATCGTTTCTTTCCACAGTACTACCGGTCTCTTCGATCTTTTTACCCAAGATATCTAGAAGTAAGCTCACGTTTTCAAACTTCATTCCGCGGCACGCAGAATGAAAATCAAACCACTCGAAAGCAAGTGACGGGGAGCCTTCCGCCTCTTGTTCATTCAGTTTTTGAGCTGCTTTCTCATATTCTTTGCCAATTATAGCTTCGACACCATGCTTCTCAACTAAATTTACTAATTGTATAGATCCATATGTCTTGCCCATACGTTCAAAGTGTTTCTTGAATGCTCTAAAATTTGCCTCTGGAGAATGCTGTAGTACTGGAATCGGTTTAAGGGAATATGGAGATTGTGTAAAGAAAAGCGGTATACTACCTCGAACCTGGACAAAAGAGGAGATTTTTGATGAAGGGCTCCAAGTTGGAGTCGAGAGTATCTGCTCCGTCTCGACGAAATTAGCAGTATAGCCATTTTCGTCTATACCACGCCGTAGATATCGAAGCCCAGCTCGCCTGGTGGACCTCCTGGAAATAATGGTGATAACGAACTCCTTCTCAGACGGCCTTAGATCACTAAATGCTCTCTCCGGCGGAGGAAATTCGACATGAGACTCTGAGGGAGGCGTCATATTGTTTAATTCCATGGAATCTTCCTGAGAATCGACTTGCGGTGGATAACGATCCACAACGAACCTCCTCTGTCCCACAAAACCTTGCATTACTGGTAACAGTAATGATTCGTCACTAGATCCGTGGAATGGTTTTAACAAACTACGATTCCAAAAGAATGTGGGATCGGCTGCTTCGTGAAGCGGGAGGCCTTCTGCGACCGATGTGACGGACTGACTGCCAAGGCTTCTCGTAATATCAAAATCATAGGAGAAAAAGAAGCTCCTAGACGTCCCAAGCCAGATATGCGCAAATCGCAATAGCTTTGGTAATAGGCTCTCACCAGCTGACGGTGTCGGAGGAGGATCGACCTTCTCCTGCACCACCGTATCGTTCAACTCCTTATCTGGACCTCCCTTCTTTGCCTTGTTCCTCTCATCGCCGACCTGGGCACCCGCCCGGTCAGGTTCGACACTGGTAATGCCTAGGTTTCGCTTCTGGTCCATCATCCAGCCTTTGCGGCTGAACCAGCGCTGAGCGAATCGCCCATAGCTCCCGCGGCGCTTTATGACATCCTCGGCGATGCTACTTTTCCTGTCTGCCCCTGGCGCGTCTTTGTCTTCGGAAGTCTCACGATCGCTTATGGCTCCTGGGTCTTCCGCATCATCGCCGCCTAATACTGAACGTGTATCAACCTCGCTCTCTGAATCGCTGTCTTCGGAAAACTTCTCGGCTAACGTTTGTCGTAGTTTAGTTGCTGTGTTCGCAACGGCTGATTCGGCCTCGCTTCGACTCGTACACGGGGTGAGCGCGACGTCAGTGACGACATAGACAGGAAAGCCGCGAACCTGCGCAACTTGCTGGCGGCCGGTGATTGTGATGAGGTAGGTTAGACGAGAGACAGTAAAAAGTCCTATAGAGAAGCCCAATTAGAAATTGCCTGGACGAATACGTTTACGAGCGTTATTTATTTTAGATAAGACGAACCTACAACCCCAAAAGCTTCGAAGGACGAGTTCGGTTTTGAGTTGTCTGGTGTTTGATCGCGAGGAAGCGAAGATACCGTAGCATCTCCATACTTGATTTTGACGGGCGCGGGAGTTCGTTGCCCTTTTGTCGCAAGAGGTTGGACTATAAGGCCGTCGACGGCTGCACATATAAGCAGCTTTCGCGCTAGATTAGGCATGCTTAGTGGCTAAACATTCAATCATGGTATTCATAAACTGGTGAATAGAATTCTACTATATTTGAATGAAAAGAAATTGTATCAATCTTAAGAGATGATACATATGGTTATTTTCAGGGTCTTTGGGTCTTTGGGTCTTTGCGATGATGTCTTGGATGATTTAGTTTTTGGTGGGGTTGCTGATGCCGTCACACGGTGGGGCAGAATCTCTAAGGCCTGGTTGGTCTAGGACGCGCGCAGATGCAGGTGTACATGTTACATACGCAGGTACATAGGTAGGTAAGGTATTAAGGTTAGATGTACTAGATCCTAAGATGTACCAATGGCTTAAGAGCATAAGCAGGCACGCCATGATCATGAAGCATGGGGCAACAAAAAAAATAGGGTCAAGGATTTTATAGCGAATAATGAATCGAGAAGCTTGCTGATTGATGTGCAGATTATATTCTCTATATCCACATCTATTCTTCCTCGAGTTACGAACCTATAGCTTTTAGCCTAGTATATTTCCCAACGTAGCAACCTGAATTTCTGTCCTGGCTCTTGGGGTATCTTAAATCATGAGGCGCTCGATCTTGTCCCTCAGACTGCGGATCTGGCCGGAGAGATCGCTTGCCTCGTTGGAGAGGATACTCGCGGCGATGACAGCTCGAGATACACCGCAGGCTCTGCCAAGAGCAATCTGTCCAATTGTTAGTGCTTTACGGTATAGTTAAGATAATTCCCAACAAACCTTGCTAGGGACATAGCAGTAGATGACGTTCTTGTCTTCGCAGAGCAAAGGTAGGTGCAGAAGAATGGCAAGCGGAGTGGTATCGGCGGCCAGAATGACGATCTCGGCAATACCTCTGGACAGCGCCTTGGTCACTTCGTTTGCTCCTTTCTTGAGCTGGCGGGCATCTGTATGGGAGCACAATTAGTGGGCGGGAGGTAAGTGAAGGTAATTGGCGTATACTCACGGCCAGCCTGTTGCACCAAATCTAAAATCTCCTGGGTAAGAGAAGCATCGGCGACGGGCCAAGCTGATGATAGGTCAGTACGATATCCGGACGAAAAACGTAGCTGTGTTAGAACTTACCGGCACTTTGATCCTGGTTGGCAGACATTATGACGGAGCAGGGTTCCTTGCGGTTGCTCGCCCTGAAGAGGAATATGTAGAATAATGGGTAAAAGGTTGGCAAAGTCTTGAAGATCGCAGTAAAGAAATGTTCAAGAAAGAAAAAAAAAAAACAAAAAATGGTCAACCCGGTCAAAGCTTCTGAATGCCAAGAAATAAATTTGTCGGTCAAACCTTACGCCGATATCCGCTGACATAATCGATCCTGCAGGTGACCCAGAGCTGCAAAATCAAACCCCCAATCAAAGGCAAACCTGGAAACAAGGCAAAGCAACACCTTCTCTCTCCCCGTAATACCTCCCCATTACTACAGCAACTTTAAACAATCTCTCATACTACCACAATTCTTTAAGCTCGCCATCGACACCAGGTTTAATCTACCACTCTCATCTGTCCGCCTCCAAAGTCTATCATTCTACATTTCTCTATTTTTTGTTTTTACTTCTAAAAACCCACTTACGCCGTCACAATGTCATACTCTGAAGCTTGGTACGTAATTGATGATTGCCTCCTTACAAGTGTCCCATCATCGTCATCATCGCAAGCTTAAGGCAACATCGCTTTTGTTGCTATCGAGCTTGTGATGTGATTTATTTGATTCAATATGCTAACGCCTTTTTCTATAGCCCGGTCTACGCGGTTAGTTCACCTTCTCTTGGCGCGCGTCTCGGTCATCATTCCTCTATCCCTTAACCTTCGAGACGAGTGCGACTTCGATATACAAAGCTAACCTCCGGTAGCCCTTCTTCGGCGCCATGGGTTGCACAGCAGCCATCGTTTTCACCTGCTTAGGTGCTTCCTACGGAACCGCCAAGTCCGGTGTTGGTATCGCGGCTATGGGTGTTTTGAGACCCGACCTCATCGTGAAGAGTACGCGCCATCTCCGGCCATCAATACATTCTGAACAAAAGCACTAACTTTTCCTTCCAGACATTGTCCCCGTCATTATGGCTGGTATCATTGGTATCTACGGTCTCGTCGTCTCTGTCCTGATTTCCGACGGTTTGACCCAACAGCTCCCTCTCTACACCGGATTCATTCAGTTGGGTGCGGGTCTCTCGGTGGGTTTGGCTGGTCTGGCTGCTGGTTTCGCCATTGGTATTGTTGGTGACGCTGGTGTACGAGGAACCGCTCAGCAACCTAGACTCTTCGTCGGCATGATCCTTATTCTCATTTTCGCTGAAGTCTTGGGTCTCTACGGTCTCATCGTCGCTCTTCTGATGAACTCCAAGGCCAGCGTCGATGTTAGCTGTTAAAGAAGCATCGTGGACACCACAACGGCCTTCTATTCGACGCGGTAGCTTGAGGATTAGAGGCAATGGCAAGTTATTACTAAATACGCTTGGTATGCCCTGATCTTATGGGTTACTTCGTCCGAACAAACACTACATGCGACTTAAATTACGGCAAGGGCTAGCCCAGCAATCGAATACAAGGAACTACGAGTTCTAAAGCTGTCAGGGGATGTGAAAAGAGTGGTAGAATGGGGCGTATGGTGACGACTGAGCAAGAACCCGCATTTGTATTACTTGTTGCTGCACATGTTGTACGCTCCGGAACGGTTTCTCATCGTAGATTAATGGATGGGAAATCATGTACTCTAGGTTGGTAATCGGTTCTCATGGAAGAAAATGATTTTTATATTAAAATTTTGTTCGCCATTAAAAATGCAACGAGTCCGTCGTCCACATGTTGGCGTCTCACAAAGCGTTAGCCTATATACTTAAAGTTGAGCTCAATAGTTGTCACTAACCGAACAATCCGACAATGTGATTTGAATTCGATAGGTGTTGTAGTATACTTGTTAAACACCATAATACTTGGGTATCCAGGGCATTATTACAAGGCCTTCTACCGAACTTATGAATGTAAACCGCTCAGTTCGGGTACATATAGTAAAGCTATTTCTCATCTTGAATGAAAGAATAAAAATAAAGCAATTGCTTATGTAATAGCACAAGAGGAGCAACCATCAATCACATGCATCGCGGAATTGACATTATCCCTAGAAATTCAAAATTACAATTTAATTACCAAAAAAAAATTTTTAACTCGAGGAAATTTGATAGATTTATCAAATAAAAAAAATAGAAGTCTGTAATGTCCTCGGTGAGGCTCGAACTCACGACCTTTGGATATCCCAACCTATGGCTGGATCACACGAATAGTATGAGACCAACGCTCTGACCAACTGAGCCACGAAGACTTTTTGTAGACTTATTGTTATCGGGGTTATGCTAAGGCTTGCTTGTTTCCAAGACTTGCCTTGCCCCGCAGATGTAAGTCGTCTTCTTAGCGGAGTTTAAGTAGTACTCGAAGGGAGGATGTATTGCCTTGTCCTAGTCGATTCTTAGATTAGCCACTTTGCATCTTAGGTTTGGACCTATCAACTTGATCCAACTCTCTGCCGACTGGTTGCTGACAGCGTAGATGATATTCCCGATTGTAGTGGATTGTGCCGCTTGTGCATGCGTAATATTGATAAAATTTCCATCGCGGGCCGTATAGTATTTATTTGCTCTCTTCTTCTTTGATTAGTTAGCAACTATATATATTTCAATTAGATCTTACATATTTACCTACCCTTCGCCCCGTCAGGGGAAGAGGGCCCCCGTTGCCGTCGGGGGCGCCCGCGGTGTAAAACGTCGCATGTCTGGTGTTGCTAACGATGCTAATACAAGAATTGGTATATTATAACATTTGGTAATATGCGAATATCCAATTCAGGAGTTCTGATGGCGGTTATGACTGGATGGGGATGGGTATAAATAGCAGGTAAGTAACGTAAACAGGAAGTTGAAATAGCTTCGTAGTAGTTTTTGCGCGGTTGGTTACGCAGGTAACAGCTAGGCATGATAAACGCGCCCGAGTCATGGTTCCAATAAGGTATGAATAGGAAGGGAGGAAATGGGAATCTGTATTAATAGTGTTCTCGATGATTGGATCATGGTCGCAGGGTATTGAATAGGGTGCGTCAACGTAATGAATCCATATACATACCTCATGTTCGCAAACTTCAAATGGTGTCAGAATTCTAAATGAGGCATCTAGGACACAAGACATGCTCAGTATGTATAGCCATAGGGTTCCGTAGCTATGTTTTCCGTAGCCATGTTGGAGTTCCTCGCGGAACAGCGAAGTTGTTTCGATGCTGTTTGGTTCAACTTCGTGAGACTTGGAAAAGGAGAGGAAAACAATTCTAAAGTGGGAGATCTACTCGACCTCAAGTTGCTAGTCGAGTATCAGACTGGTACGTTGTTAATGCCCTATCTAAAGCCTCTATGATAATGTACCAACTAAATAACACATAGATGCTCAGCTACACGTGAATATATATGATGCCGGCCTTGATGTATACCAAATCCAGGAGTATATACTTCCCAGACCTTCCAGCTAGAATATTTCTTCTCAGATGCCACCCTACAGTTTTCACTTATAGAAGAACCCTTCTCCTTTTCTATTAAACAATATGGGTCAGGAGAAGTCTTGTTCAATACTAATGGCAGTCAACTGGTTTTCGAATCCCAATATGTCTACCTTAGAGTACAACATCATCGGCGGTGTACTGGATTTCTATTTCTTAGCCGGGTCTAGTCCTTCTGAAGTTAGTCGACAGTATGCTGAAGTTGTGGGCTTACCTGCTATGATGTCTTACTGGACCTTTGGTTTCCATCAGTGCAAGTATGGGTATTGTGATGTCAATTATGCGGTCGAAGTTGTTGCGAGCTATTCTACGGCAAATATCCCCCTCGAGACGCTATGGGGCGATATCGATTATATGGATCTCCGGCAGGTTTCTACTGAATTTCCGGAGCGGTTTCCTTTACATAAAATGTGGGAGCTGGTCGATACTTTACACAAGAGAGACCAGCACTATATTATAAATTATAATACTTGATCCCGGCATTCATAGAGCTGATAACTACTCGACTTTCACTAGAGGCGAGGACAAAAGCGCTTTCCTCCAAGCTGATGATGGATCAAACTATCGCGGAGTGTATTGGGTTGGTGAGGTTGTAGTAGAGAGTGTGGTGGTTCTCGGCGGCAAGAAGCCGGTTACTCTGAAGGGACCGTGGTCTCTTGATGGGCCATTTGAAGTTGCATTCCAATCTTGAGCCGAATCTTGAAAGAGTTTCGAGTAGAGGTCTTCTATATATTTCCAAGTAAACATATTAAGTTGAAAGTCAAATATATTTACTTCTAGAACAGGATATGTCCTAAGTAATATGGAACACGGCAAGACACCTGAACCGGATGTTTGCTCTTACATATATACTTGCTGCATATATCCAACATGGGTAAGACTACTCTTGAAATATTGGGTTGTACAAACGCGCAAGAGACAAAGCCCTATTGGAAGGCATCTCAGAAGTCTTTATAATTGTCTATTCAAAACCTTTTGATAAACTGTGTTTAGACTTGTCTGGGTTAGTTAGTTAACTACCAACTAGGTTAATATATTAATATAATATGGTAGACTTTCATAGTTGTAGAGCCTTTCTACTTAGTCGTCCCATTTTTACTAACTCTTATACTAATTCCTCTGGTGTTGTTTATATACAGCTTCCTGTGACTTGATAATCACTTATGAAAGAGTGTTATATGCACGGTGTTTGCAGAAGAAGAGCTAAAGTATGCGCGACTTGCAGATATCTGCCTATCAGTAGGCTTCACTGACTATAGTATTGATCGATAAGTGTTACACTATGCGTCTTTGTTAAAGTCAGAGTTTATATGTTAAATTGTTAATGCAAGACACTATCGTATAAGTTTAGTTTGTCTCTTACATTTTGTAATGTTAACAGGTAACTAACCGCAGACATCAGTTACTACCTATCTCTGTTACTTGCATGTACCTAATGTATTCATCCGTCTGACCCTTGCCGAATCGGACCCACCTACGAAGCCCAGGCCTGCCAGGCAGCTAAAACGCCAAGAAAACCTTGGAAAGTGGGCATCGAAAAAAAAGAAAACTGCAGGCAAGGCAGGTAAGGCAGGTACATGAAATGATTACATAAGAACCCATCCCTCTGTTACGGTTTACAGTCTACCTCCACTACAGCTTTTAGAGCTCTAGAGACGGGAAGCATCTAATTTGCCTTGTTTCTAGCGCATTTCCAACTAGCAACCTGAGTCCCTCAAATCCCAACCAGTTAACCACCTGCAGTTAACCCTTGCGCTTTCTTGGGTTGCGGCATACATACCGATGCTATCAAGTTGCTGATAAGAATTTCTTTTCTCCATCATCTTTTCGGTATCCTGCATTTGTTACTATTGGAAACTTCATCTTGACAAGCAACCAGGCTATCGCCGAGCCAGGGAGGGGTCAGTCTTTTTTATTTTTTATTCTTTTACAGGTTCGCCTTTATTGTACCTACGCGTCTCATATACTGCCGAACTATACTGACGTGTCTCGGGAATACAGTCACGTCAAGCATCATGTCCGACACGAATCACGACGAGCGCGATGTCACCGGAGAGGACCCCATGGTCAACGAGGAGGGTAATGATGAAGTGCGCCTTCCCTTCCGACCTCAGTGTAGACAATTTCGTTGAAATGTTCAATACGAGATGGGGTATTTGTTAGATTTTATCGGCTAATGGGAAATGCTTGCGCATAGGAAGAGATTTCGGCAATGAAGAAACGCGTTGCCGAGATGGAGCAAGAGGCGGCTAAGCTCCGCGAGATGCATGCTGCACTAGAGGAGAGAGGACAAGAGGTCTCAGAGGACAGATCCGACGTTGATAGTCGAAGTATCTTCGTCGGGAATGTTGACTACTCTGTCTCTCCCGAGGAGATACAAGCTCATTTCCAGAGCTGTGGTTCCATTAACCGCGTCACTATCCTGCTGGACAAGTTTACTGGCCAACCTAAGGGGTAAGTAAGACCGAATTGGCTCTGCAAAGCTCTTCTATTCTAGTTTGCATGAGCTCACATATTTCTTGTATAGTTATGCGTACGTCGAGTTTACCGAACCGAGCCTCGTCGCCCAAGCGTTGGTGCTGAATGATAGTGTTCTCAAGGGACGTAACATCAAAGTTACTCCCAAGCGAACCAATATCCCGGGCCTTAGCCGTGGCCGTGGTGGCCGCGGCCGCGGCGGATTTGGCGGTTCGGGACGAGGCTATTACGGTGGAAGAGGTGGGTTTGCGCCACGAGGAGGCATCTACCGGGGTGGTTATCGGGGTCGAGCACGAGGCAATGGTTTTAATCCGTACTGAGCTTGGCTGGGCTCATCTTCTCAAGTCTTCCAGTCCCGGCCCCTGAGAGACGTTGAAGATCGCACAAGCGGAGAAGGGGGGGAAATTTATAATTGTTAACGCAAAGGAACATGGTTACCTACCTATAGCCTTGGGTTCTATAGGAATTGGCAGACGAATGTCGACTGGGTATGTGAGATGCATACAGGACTTTATTAGATCACCGACTTCGCAGGTATGGCGCAACGTTACCAGGTAGCGTACTTCATTATTCTTTTCTTCTTCTGCCTCCATGCCCAAAATCAGGGAAGCGTTTCCAGGCGAGACTCGGCCGTAGAAAAAGGATGAGCACGTGGAGCTTTTGTTACCTTGGCCTTGTTGCTTATTTGCCAGGCACGGTTATTGCAACTCGAAGACGTCAAGAGAGGATAGTATTCATAATACCTAGCCTAGGAGGTTGGTGGTCGAGGGAGGATGTGCGATTTGCCTATGGATTTAGTGAATTCCGAATTCCAAATTCCTCGACAAGGAAAGAAACGCAATCTAAAGATGCTTTTCCGAAATATGTATTTTCAAAGCGGAGGAGCCTTAATAGGGTATGAGGCTTAAATATTTCCGCCTACCCCCCTGATAACCTATGTAATTGCTAGTCATGACAGATTAAAGTGATGGTCGACATCAAAATATCAAAATAATACCTGTCGTCCATTTGCTATCATTTGTACCTGTCTACCTACCCTATAACCGTGACTAAGCGATCTAAGTTGACCTTGTCGTAGGTAGTATTTCATATCCGTCATGGTCACATGCAAGATGAAGAGACGAGACTCGAGTCAATCCTAGGCAAGTATTTTATGATTTATAATATTTCTCTGGCCCGGTGCCTTCCGGAGAATAAATACCTACATGGTGACATGATAGTGTACCAAGCACAGAAGAGACCGGGTAACGGCACGGTCTAGACCTATGAACTAGGAGAGCCAATAAGTCCTGTTCTCTTGACCGTATTGCCGTCTTATCCTGGGAGCTCCCGAGGCTTAGATGCTGGGGTATTTTGGAGGCCGCCGAATGGGAGAAGCTTCTATTATCAGCCCATCCGCGTGTTGATGTAAATCAAAGTTGAATGCATAGGTAGGTATGCATTCGAAAATATGCATTCGAAAATATGTAGGATTAAGGTGGGATTAAGTTTGAAGCTCCCGTGGAGGGAAGATATCTCTTTGTTATTAGGTAGTTTGCCCATTATGTATATATTAACCTAGATAACTATGGGGAAAAGGATAGTTAGTATATCTCGAGGTTGGTAATAATCCCATTTTAATGAAACACAAGGCACAGCTTAGGACGACGAGAGTTGCGAATAGGTAGGGGGTGATGTAAAAAGGGACATCTCAAACCAATTGGAGGTACGTGCACTAGTTACTTGAGTTACCGACGCTGTGATGATAGATACTTGGGTGGATTGGCAAATAGCACTCTAAAAAGATGTATTAGATATCTAAATGTACATGAAGATTTGCGCGCAGAAGGTTCAATGTTGCATGCATTATCCTGTTTCCTAGCGCTTGCACAGCCTCAGCTTAATAGATATGGCCGCTATTGGACCGGATCGATTCAGCGCTATTGTGTATTGCGAAGTACACTACATAACACCAGCTAGTTAGGTAGGTACGATTGTATTGTACCTAACAGGTACATGTATTAGGTATGTTAGGTACATATGTAGTAGTCATAATTGATCACTACGCCACTGCGGCACACTGCGGCCACTGCGGCCACTGCGGCCACTACGAAGGAACCTATCACTGCTACCCACTACGACCTGCCTTAACCTCATAACTTTCCACTTGCTTAGTGGCTATTACCATCAAGACTCCACGAGGCTCACATTTCCGCTACTTTATTCACCTAGAAACTCGGACGAGGCACAGGGAGGGCCAGAGCAGAAAACCAACCAACTTATCGAATTAAATCTTATCTGTATTATTCAATACACGTCCGCCGTTGACCGAATACGGACGGAACCCCTCCTTTGGAACGGGGACGCCCAGGTGGGATCCGGGATCTAAGAGGTCATGAGAGAGTGAGACGTTTGACTTCATTCCAAACCGTGAAGCAGCTATTAGTATGACCGCAACTCGTACTGAGCCAGGGCCTTCGGCGTGAGTTTGAAATGATCACGAACCTCTACATGGCCATATTATACAAGGTTATGGCCATGGTTTTTGACAAGTCGATCCGCTAACTTCGAGTTTTATTCCTACAGCCAACCGAATCTGCGAGTCACGAGTGCGTCTTCTACCAACTCCAACTCCATCACCATGCTTGGCGGCCCATAGATACTTACCTATCTCTTCTAGTCATCGCTGCCGACGGCCTGTACAAGCGAGATGTATTCCGTATGTTGATCACTTGTCGCAATCCGTATGGTCCAAGCTGTTAACCGATCCCTTGACATCCAGGTCTACCTGATCCTTTTGCCGTAGCTACCATCAATGGCGAGCAGACCAAGACCACGACCGTCTCCAAACGTACCCTCAATCCTTATTGGAACGAGAGTTTTGATTTGTACGCATCTACCTCCTATAAGCAAAAACTATCCATAAACTTACCAAATCTGTAGCCGAGCAACCGAGGATAGTATTTTAGCAGTGCAGGTCTTTGACCAGAAGAAGTTCAAGAAGAAGGACCAAGGTTTCTTGGGCGTTATTAATATCAGGATCGGGGATGCTATCGAGTTAGCAGACGGCGCCGATGGTATGTATGGGCATATTTATGTCTTAAAAAGCCACAAATTCCACTTGGTCCAGGCTGACATCGTTTATCAGACCAGATGCTTACACGGGACTTGAAAAAGTCTACGGATAACCTCGTCGTTCATGGAAAATTGATAATCAACCTATCTACAAATCTAACCACCCCTGCCCGCCCTACGCAGCAACCCTCATCAGCAAGCTCTAGTCGACCTTCCTTAGCCCCCCAGGCCTCTACTGTTAGCGCCAATAGTGCTTCTGAACGACCGACTTCTTCAGCATCAGGTCCAAACGGACTTGCGCCAGGTGCACAAATGGCCTTGCCGTTGAGGCCTAATGGCGCAAACCCGCCCGCGGTTAACGGCAACGGTGCACAAGCTCGGCCTGGAGCCCAGATGAGCCCATTTGAAGATGCTCAGGGTCGCTTACCCGCTGGCTGGGAGCGGCGCGAGGATAATCTGGGGAGAACTTACTACGTAGATCATAATACGCGGACCACGAGCTGGAACCGTCCAACCCAGTCCGGTACTTCCGCAGAGAATCGCGGCGAAAGAGAAGCGGCTACTCAGGTTGAACGTCAAAGGCATCAGAACAGAACCCTACCGGAAGATCGTACTGGTGCCAATTCCCCAACTCTTCAGCAGCAGCAGCAACAGCAGCAACAGCCTGTTTCCAGTAGCGGTTCTACGCATAGCCCCGGTCAAAGCACTTTGATGCATACCGGTGCTACCAGCCCTGGTACTGGCGAGCTTCCCCCTGGCTGGGAACAACGTTGGACGCCCGAAGGTCGGCCTTATTTTGTTGACCATAATACTAGGACTACCACATGGGTTGATCCTCGCCGCCAGCAATATATTAGAATGTATGGCGGCCAGAATAATTCTAACGGAACGATACAGCAGCAGCCCGTCTCACAACTCGGACCACTGCCTAGCGGGTGGGAAATGCGATTAACTAACACGGCTCGCGTTTACTTCGTGGATCATAATACTAAGACTACCACTTGGGACGATCCCCGACTACCATCATCCTTAGACCAAAATGTACCACAGTATAAGCGAGATTTCCGAAGAAAGTTGATTTACTTCCGTTCGCAGCCCGCCATGCGGATACTTTCAGGGCAATGTCACATGAAAGTACGACGGTCTCACATTTTCGAGGACTCTTTCGCGGAAATCTCACGACAGTCCGCAACTGATCTCAAGAAGCGCTTGATGATCAAGTTTGACGGCGAAGATGGGTTAGATTACGGTGGTCTCTCTAGAGAATTCTTTTTCTTATTATCGCATGAAATGTTTAACCCTTTCTACTGCCTTTTCGAGTATTCCGCCCACGATAACTACACCCTCCAGATTAACCCTCACTCCGGTATCAATCCCGAACATTTGAACTACTTTAAGTTCATTGGTCGCGTGGTTGGTCTGGCCATTTTCCACCGACGATTCCTCGACGCATTTTTTATTGGTGCCCTTTACAAAATGATGTTGGGCAAGTCGGTGGTTCTTGCTGATATGGAGGGTGTGGACGCGGATTTTCATCGGAGTTTGCAGTGGATGCTTGACAACGACATTTCTGGCGGTATACTCGAGCAGACTTTCTCTACCGAGGACGAGCGCTTTGGCGTTGTGACAGTGGAGGATCTTATCCCCGACGGCCGGAATATCGACGTTACTAATGACAACAAGAAAGAATACGTGGACCTTATGGTCAAATGGCGCATTGAGAAGCGTATTTCGGAGCAATTCCAGGCCTTCAAGGAAGGGTTTCACGAGCTCATTCCTCAAGACCTAATCAACGTCTTTGATGAGCGCGAGTTAGAGCTACTAATTGGTGGTATTGCCGATATCGATGTGGACGACTGGAAGAAGCACACCGATTACCGCGGCTACACGGAGAGCGACGAAGTCATCCAGTTTTTCTGGCAAACAGTACGGAGCTGGGATGGAGAGCAAAAGAGCAGACTGCTACAATTCACGACGGGTACTTCCCGAATCCCGGTCAACGGATTCAAGGATCTTCAGGGTAGCGATGGTCCGAGGAGGTTTACTATCGAGAAAGCAGGCGAAGTTGGCAACTTGCCGAAGGCACATACTTGGTACGTACTTGACAGATACGTTTGATGTTAGACATGCCGCTAACGATAATACAGCTTTAACCGCCTAGACCTACCCCCATATAAGTCATTGGAGGCGTTACAGAACAAGTTAACTACGGCGGTGGAGGAGACCATGGGCTTCGGACAGGAGTAAAAGGCTGTTCCAATGTTTCTTACTGCTGCTATTGCTGTATATAGAACGATTAATGGTGTTTCCTCACTACGACAGAGCCTGAATTACGGACGGATTTTTGCATCTCATTTATGTGTCTTGGTTCAGATCCCCTTCGTCCCGCCATTGCAACCTAGCTGTGGCTGTTAGGGAAGAGAGATGA